GTCAAAAACAAGTACCTACTCTCTCTGATTCAGAAGCTTATTAATAAGACACATACATTTAGGGTTTTCACTAAGTTGAATGTTTGATAGAGATACAATAATATTCAGATCTAAGACAGAGATGAGTAGAAGGCTGTGTTCTAAACTAATTACAGATTGTACAAACTGACTATAATGTTCTTTAGACTAACTAACTTGCTTACAATGTTCTAATCATTTATGAATCACATTCTTACAGATCTGATTAACTCAGAGTATGTTAGTGTGTATCTGGACAACATTCTGATCTTTACTCAGACAGTTGAGTACTATTACTAACTGATCTGAGTAGTTCTATAATAGCTCTAAGATAATAAACTGTTCCTCTAAGAAGTAAAGTACTCTTTTACACAGGAGTCAGTAGATTATCTAAGCTTTGTAATTAGTAGAGGAGAGGTCTGTATGAATCTAGCAAAGGTAACTGTAGTTTGGAACTGGTTACAATTTTAGAACCTGAAACAAGTCTAAGTATTCCTTAAGTTTATAAACTACTACTAATACTTTATTTAAGACTTTAGTACTATTGTCTGGCCCCTTTACAATCTTACTAGTAAAAATGTTCCTTAGTAATAGGAGGATCAGTAGTAGTCTGTATTCAAGTCCTTAAAGTAGACTATTACTAGTAAGCCTGTATTAGTAGTTCTAACAGTTGTAAACAAGTTCTAAGTTAAAGCTGACTCTTCTAACTTTACAAATAGAGTAGTACTGTTCTAGTTCATTAACAGAAAGTAGTGTCTGATAGTGTTCTGATCAGAATCCCTCTCTGTAATAGAACAGAACTACCCTATCTATAATAAGGAACTCTTTATAATTGTCTGTTCCTAAGAGGAGTAGTGTTAATATCTCTTTAGTACTGTACAGAAGTTTAAGATTTAGAGTGATCACTTTAATCTCTAGTACTTTCAGACACCTTAGAAGCTCAACTACTACTAAGCCTACTAGATGTTAGAACTGTAGGACTACAACTTTGTACTAACCTACAAACCTGGAACACAAATAACAAAAACTGATTTACTCTTAAGATAAGTAGGTTATAAAAGGGGGGAGAATAATAATAAAAATCTTGTTCTCCTAGACAATTCCTGTTTTGTGTCTGAGACAATCTAAGAGATCTGACTCAAATCCAAGAATGTTAACTTTGTCACTTATATATAGTAAGCTTTAAGACACACACAGGACTAGGTTATAGTAAAGTAGTTAGAGAAGTAGGTTAAGAATTAGGAGAAGGATAAGAATAGATAGGTTTACTAAGAAGGTTAACTGTATGTTCTAAAGGATTAGAAGCTGTAGGAAAACATTGTCTGAGCTTATTACAATAACCTGACTGTAGAACATTTAGGCTAACACAAAATACAAAAACTTATTATTTAGAACTACTAATAGTTAAGAATGTAGAGAGAAATCCTAAAGTATGTAACTAGTTATAATACATACTAACAGACTAAGGCCTACCAGACAAGGGCTCAGACTCTCCTACATTTGTATTAGATTCTGAATCACTCTTAGGAAGAAGTCTTAGTAGACCTGATTAGTAAGCTACTCAAGTCTTAGGGTTACAACACTATCTGTATGATTGTCAACTAATTCTCTAAGTAAGTCTATACAGTTCTAACCTAAACAGAACTTACTTCTAAAAGTATAGTATGTATTTATCAGGATTATGTTTTCTGGTTGTACAGACTCTCTCAGAAGCTTATTCATGATTACAGACTATAATTCAAGTTAAAATTCATATAGGACTTGTATATACTTCTCAGAATTTAAGGGAACCCTTCTACTATATATTACTTACAGACTAACAGTCAAACTAAGTAAGTTAATCAGGAGATCAAGCTCTACCTTCAAATGTTTATCAATCATTAGTAATTGGATTAGTCTGAATAGTTAGCTCTAACAGAATTTGTACACAATAACTAATAACACTCTATAATAGGACAGTCCCTATTCTTCCTTAATTATAAAAGACATTTGTACTAGGAGACAGTTCTGAACCAGAACAGTAGTTCTGAATCTGTAACAGACTTTGTAGAACAGATACACAGAACTAGAGAGGACACACAAGCTCTTTTGAAAAAGGTAGTATAAGTTATAAAGTAGAACTATGATTGGAAAAGGTCTGTAGCCAAGGATTACTAGCCTAGTAACAAGATTATACTAGAAGCTACTAATCTGACCTTGGATCACTTAATAAAGAAGTTGAACAACAAGTACTTCAGACCCTTTGTTATTAAAAAGAAGGTTAGCACTTCTGTTTACAAACTCTAACTTCTAACAATATGAAAGTGTATACACCTAGTGTTTAACAAGGTTCTACTGTCTTAATACTACAATCCTAGTTTTCCTTTATAATAAAGACCCCTACTGTCTCTACTAGAACTCATTAGTTCTGAACTAGAATACAAAGTAGAGTATATAATAGATACTAAGCTAGTATACAAAAACCTTAAGTTCCTTATCTACTAGAAAGGATACCTAGTTGAGGAATGTACTTAAGAACCTACTGAGAATCTTACTCATACTACTAAGGTAATCTAAGACTTTTATCAACTTCATCCAGGTACTCTACATTAACTCTGTCTTACAGATTTCTAAGCCTTACTATTCTGACCTATACCTAAGCTACTAACTAAGTCTAATGTTTACTAATCAGGACAATTGGTTTTAGAGAGGGAGTGATGTTACAATTCTCTACTCTCATACCTTTAGTTCTGAGGGTTCTACACCCTTCTGTACTAGAACTTAGGACTTCTATCCTTTAGAGGTACTGTTTATAAACTATATGTATACTAACTCTTACTACTACCCTTCCTTACTTTATTATTCTATTCCTTTGACCACCCCTTCATTCTTTGTTCATTCTATAGTCTCTTACCCTTTGTCCATCCCTTTATTCTTTATACCTTTATCTTTGACCTTCCTTTCTTTTATTCTTTGTAGCTTATCATTCTTAGTAGCTTATACTCCCTAAGTACTCTTGTGTAGTTTAGTATATATAGGTGTACAAGATCAGACTAGTCCTGTAGTCTTGATCTTGTTTACTCTAGATAGTCCTGTACTCTTAGACTTACTCTATATACTCTACTCTTGTCTCACTCTCTCTCTCTGCCTGTTCTGCAAGTTCTGACTACATTCTAGTACTTACATTCTGTATTTCTGTTGTGTAGGATAGTTGTAGCCTGGGTCCCCTTGCTGAGCCTTCAGGTCCCCTCTACACTGTTACTAACACTTCCTTTATAGTGTCTGTTACTAGACTATAGTACTCTTTAGACATATGTTCATATTTGTTATAATTGTAACATTTTATTGTCTTGTAAAGCTTTACATTACCTGTACTGTGTCCTTGTCCTCTTGTTTGACCTTGTATAGGCCCTAGAGATAGAGGATGATTATTTGTTATTTTATTATTATTATTTAGTGTACTATGTTTATTCTGGTGGTTCTGTATTTGCTACTCAGTAAATGTGTTGTATAATTTGTGAATTAATTTTGCTAGTGTGAACACCTAATACTGAGCTGTAGTAACTGTGAGTAAACTATTGTAATACATGTTCTGCTTATCAATCATTGTTGCAACCCACTTATACTCTCTTAGAGTAGTAAGATTTATTACTGAGACATAAGTATTATCATCTAGTACTTTACTGTAAGCTACCAGTTACATATAGACTTGTTCTATTTGGTCTAGTGTCTTGTCAAACTGTAAAATGTGTTCTCTAGCTGTGAACAGTACTAATATATTAACTGTGTGAGTCAACATGGTTTGTACATCATATTGATCAGCTAGTGCCTGTATGAGGTCTTTCATTGTTTTGTGTATTGTAATGTTAGTATACACTGTATCTGATATTGTCTTTGTTATGAAATGATACAATAGTTTCTCTGTGTGTATACTGTCTACATCTGTACTAGGGGGATTGTTTGTAAGGTGGTTACTGAGCAGTATTACTGCTAGTGCATTTGTAATGCATAGTTGCTATATCTTATAGTTCTTTGTGCCTGTAAGCTTCTCTGTGTCTTTAAAGAATGTAGCAAGTTGATTGTCATTGATCTTTAGAGACTTGAACGTTAACATAGGTTGTGCCATTGTTAGAGGCGTTACGTTTGTAGGTGGAGCACTAGTACTAGGAGGGGGGGTAGACGTCTGAGGTAGAGGTGGCGTTCATGGTGTTGTTCGTGTCAATGGTGCCATTCACAAGCCGGCAAGGCTCATAACCTGTTAGGACGGGGAGTTTGGAATGGCACTTGGATATATGTGCATATATGCGCGCCCTTATATACTAGATACATCGTGCTATACTAGTAAATGAGACGTAAAACGCAGCGTGTCGAATACGATTAGTGAACTTGCCAGCGAATAAAGCTGGAGTGCCGGATAATGCGCTGCATGTGGGAGATGTAGGCGATTCGGGCGAAGTCGTAGAGATGAGAGTGATATCGCGATGCGCGCAGTCGATGACGGTACGTGCGTAGAGTGTGGCGATCTTTGTAGATGTGAGAGAGACGTGGGCGTAAAGGATGGTGTGTGCAAGACCGGAGAGGATTGCGAGGGATCTGAGTGTAAGGTGATCTAAGCGTGATAGATCCTTTAGGTAGCAGTCGCGGAAACCTGTATAAAATACGCAACCTACTTAGAAAGAACTTCTTCAACGCAATCACAGCAGTGCCCCTTCCTTAGACGGCCCAATAGCACTGCCAAGGCAGCCATGCGTCTGAGGCGGCATGGACGAGCCAACACTCATTCGTAGGGAGCCACCTCATCTGCACCCATTCAGTCGGAGAATGCTAGAGACCAATGTTCTCTTTGGTAAATATATTGGGCACTGGGAAACAGCAACTTGCAGATTTGCGTGCGCTTCTCCTGTCTGCTGTCATAATATTGGCTCTCTCAATCCTGTCACTGTTCGTCTGGTTCGGAAGACAAAACCCACGCAAGCACCAAAATAATTTCCGAGGTTACACGACACGTAAAAAAAATAAGAGACACGATGAGGCAATCTATGTACATTTTCACACTCTCTTACACCGTCTGTTTGTATGCATAGCTATCTTTGCTCCTCCAACCCAACCAACGATCTGACCTCGTCCGATTCACCACCACCACTTGCACAGGAGCAGTAACCGGAATCTGCATACAACTCGCGATCTGCAATTTACCCCTCAGACTCGCAAGGTGAAAAACAAATTCTGACCTTACCTTATGGAGAGTGTTCTGGGTCGCGTGCGATATAAAATATAAGACGCAGCTTATTAATGTCTATGTCGTCTTGTATGATTTGACCATAGTGCGTAAGAAGGGACACGGTATCATTAGCTTCAAACAAAGCTATGAGATAACATAAAATGGAAGAACTAGTGATAATACGCACAGTTCATCTCCAGCAATTCCTCCAATGTTTTCGGGAATCCAGTAGCGCAGAGACCCTTTCCTGGTGGATCTGGAAGTCGGTGCAACTCGGGGTAAGGAAGTGCGCTAGTCCTGAGTAGAGCAAGAACATGAGCGTTATGGGCGCGTGCTTCGCGGAGAGAAGCCCTTTAAAAATGATTGAAAACCACAATTGAATGAGAATCATAGTAGGTGCTCACTGGTAGTTGCTGTCACCTGCTCCTTGGGCCATGGTTTGCATCTGCTGACGCACGTTGCGGAGCACTTGTGCGATCTCTTCGTCTTGAGTGCGACGCTCTTCATCTTGAGTACGACGCTCTTCGTCTTGAGTGCGACGCTCTTCGTCTTGAGTACGACGCTCTTCATCTTGCGCACGCCGTTGCTCAAGCATGTCCGCAAGGGCGTCGAGGTTCTCGAGTACTTGTTCGTGTTGCTGAGCCATGGGACAAATAAGAGGTAGGAGAGAAGGACGGATATCTGAATACGTACGCTTAAATAGCCGTGCCCTTTAGTGGCTGACACAGGCCAGAACTTCATTGCGTGTGAGACTGGACCTGGAGGTGGCGGGCAGAAAACATACAGTTCAGATCCAAATAACTTATATGGCAGTTTCTGAGACATTGTTTGTGTCAGCATCAATCAGATGCTTTGCACTTTACTCAATGAGTAAAAGCAGGTAAACGGTGTTAACCACGCATATGTTGAAGCTGTGATGAAGCGATTGAGATGGAACACAGTAAAAACAACTTTCTAATGTCTTCAAAAATCTGACAGCAGTGCAAATGTCAGTAAATAGACAGAGTACCCTGGATGTATATGTTTCGTACTCACAGTCTATATGAATGTATTATACCAGTCTCTACAGCTACAATAACAATAACTAATACCATGGGGATGATTAAATGAGCGTTTAGAAACACTTATGCATGTATTCGAATCTTCTCAGGCTCTCCTAGTGCTTCATTCTTATCGTCAATTGTACTGCGTTCGGATTCTCGAGAATTTGACGAGACAAGAATATCTGCCGTCGTTGTATCAAGTTGTGCGGCCATCAAGGCGCGGAAACGTGAGTTGGGTCGGGATACCTAGGTTTATTGTGTCAGATATATCATGTATAGCGCAAAACTACACAAATTGGCGTTAATGTCGATGTACTTACTAATTGACGGTACGTCCCGGACTCAGTAATCTTCCCACCTAGTATATTATAAATAACGGCAAAAAATGGTCAAGTTCAATTACAGTAAGCAAGAGGAAAGGCAGGACGCACCTTCAAGTACAACGATCCTCTCTGCACGTGCAATGGTCGATATCCGATGTGCAACAATCATACATGTCGTTTGTCTCGAGCTCAGGATCTTATCAATCGCGTCGTTGACCTACAACAATATTTCCAATCGGTATACAAGTAATTTGAGTAAGTCAACATTTGGTGTTCGAAGGGGGTAAATAAGGAATAGTATGATGACATACCCGATATTCAGACGTCGCGTCTAACGAGCTCGTCGCCTCGTCCATAGCCAGTATCGCTGGTTTCTTCAAGAGTGCGCGCGCAATCGCAAGGCGTTGACGTTGTCCGCCACTCAGGCTTAGTCTCCCAACTTTCAATTCATTCCACCATCAACACTATTTATCCCTTCTGAACAGAGACACTCACTTTCGGTATCAAATCCTTTCGGCATCCCCCATACGAATTCACAATTCGCCTGCCGAGCCGCTTCCTCGATCTGTTCTCTAGTTGCATCCGAGTTCCCAAATGCAATGTTGGATGCGATCGTCCCTGTGAAGAGGACGGGATCTTGAGGGACGACACCAATTAGGTTACGCCAAGAATCTGGGTTGAATTCACGAATATCTATACGTTCGAAGTTTAGTGTAGTTATATAAGACGGCAGGTTATTGGAGAAAATGAGGATAGTTCTCACCTTGGCCATCAAATGTGATACGCCCGCTTACGGGGTCGTAATACCGTAAAAGAAGAGACTGGACGCTCGATTTTCCACTCCCACTCTGTCCGCTGTCAAACCCTTTAGCCATTGTACTGCGAAAAAAATGAATCAGAATACATACACAATTGCGACGCTCTCCCCAACATCGAGTTTCAAATCAAAACCCTTCAACACTCTAACTCCCGGTCGACTCGGATACTCGAACGAGACGGCCTCAAACGATACTGTGCCTCTTCTACCTGAGGCGACCGCCTCTCCGGATAACGGAATAGCTGGTGCTCTTTCAAGCAGCTCGAAGATACGTGTCCCAGCACCGACAGCTCGCATGATAGACGCGAAGAACGACCTATATCAGGAAAATTATTAGCCCACACGAGAATAGGAAAATCGGGGGATAAGACGCACGTCAACATCGACAGCCCATTCCCGACATACACCGTATATAACAGCATACTCGTCAAGTCTCCCACAGAAATCGCTCCTTTACTCACTAAACTCCCTCCATACCCTAAGAGACAGAGCAGTGTAACGTTCCCGCTCCACCCCGTCGCGCCGTGGAACACTCCGCTTGCAAGCGCTTCCTTACGAATGAGTGTAAGGACGTAGTTGACTTTATTCGAAAATTTAGCCTCTTCTTGTGGTTGCGCATTGAATGCCTGGACGGTGCGGAAAGCAGAGAGTGATTCCGAGGCGACTTTGGTCATGTCACCAACTGCTTCTTGAGTACGGTTTGAGAGCTTTTTGAGGTAGCGACCGTAAAACACCTGAGCGAGATATAATATTAGAGTTAATTAGCAATCAAAAATGGAAATAACATACAGCACCCAGTGAGACGGGAGGAACGACAGTGAGCATGAGCAGTGTAAGCTGCGGGGAGAGGTAGAACATCGCTCCTACTTCAATGCCAGTTCTTATCATGCTCAAACTCCAGGCGGAAAAAACGAAAAGGGACTCACAACCGACAGAAGCCATCACAACTGCCCTTAATCCATCGCTCAAATTCTGCGTCATTCTTTCCGGGCAAGTTAAGCATCGTCTCTGGCACTTATATGTTCGATGAATGGAACTCACGATTCACCAACGATACTCGAGTCCACACTCAGCCGGCTGAGTACATCGCCTTCTCCCTTCTCTACATACTCCACTTCCTGTCTCAGTGCACTGGCGTACGTGCGCTCACGCAATCGCGCCACGATGCGTTGTCCCGAAAGCCGCATGAGGATGGACCGACCTGCATTAGCCACTGCGCCGATTGTGAATGCTGTCAAGAGAAGAGCAGATGCTTGTACGATGCTTAGATTGAATGGAATTTGCTACGACATCTCCAATAAATTATCGCAGCGCATGTCGGAAAGAAAATGGACGTACAGGATTAGTAGATGCAAAGAAGTCAATCAACTTTCCAATCGTGAACGGTATGCTCAACGAGACACTCGAAGAAACCAGAAGTAATCCAACGGCAAGAAGTAGAGGTTTGCGTTCCGGTTTCGCAAGTGCGATGATCTTGCGGGCGGAGGCACCTCGTACTGGTTGCTCAGGACGCAGAAACGAGGGAAGAAGACGAGCAATACGACCCGGTTCTCGTCTAGGCCGCGATTGTGGTAGCTGTTCTGTTTCTGTTGAATATAGGCGGACTAGTATTGCATTACCAGGTCGGTTATTTGTATGAAAGGGAAATGAACGAGCCGTCGGGCTCGGCCGCAGAGTGATAGTGTTATTGAGCGAGTAGAAGCATTTCGAGTACGACAAGCTCGGAGGATGTCGTCTACAGGAGTTCAGTCCCAGAGATGCCAGACGCCATGTGCTCATCGGTTGAGATGGCTGCCAAGAGCAGCGGACAGCGAGCAGAAACGAGCAGTGAGCAGTGAGAACAGGACAACAAGCCGTGAGTGAGTGAAACCGACACAACGGGATGAAACGCGTGCGTCAGCAAAAAATTAGTCTGTCCGTCCGAAAATAAAAATTACATTTGGCAGGACTGTCTACTACACAAACTAAAATGCACCTGAGGGACATACTGTAAGGGGCCTAATTAGAGGGTGTACAAGACCCTTGTAGTCCCTCTAATTAGGTACCTTTTGAGCTTTTCTCCCTAACTGTACTTAATACTAGACTTAAATAGTAAAAAAAATTCTAAGTCAAAATAAAATAAAATAAAATAAGTATGCTGAGTGCCCTATATGGCAACTGTGCCCTCCCCACCTGCCACACCTTGAGCTCACTGTCTCATACAGTGAGCACACACTTTCCTCTGTATCTTACTCAATTCTTAACCAAATTTCTTCATTATTCCTTTAAAATTAATGTAAATTTAGTTGGAACTCATTCATAACACAAATACAATGTTAAATGTATCAATTACTTGTGTATTTGTGTACTATTTGATAATAAAAATACAACAGTTTCCTCTGAACTAGATTATGATACTCTAAACTCTTAATACTGTAATATAGTAGATCTTATATATCTACAGTATAT